TTTGCGTCACTTATGAACCCATCCCTGCCCTTGTGTGGCAGTGCACAATAGAAAGTTGTTTTCACATATCCACACATTAAAACATTGATTGTAACCGTGATATATATGTGCTTCAGCCTACAGTTTAGACCTATTGTCTTATGTATGACCCTCTGTCCTGCGTGACAGTGAATACTAGCATTAACCTCAATTTAATAAGACTATCAAAATCCTCAGATTAGGCAAAATTGTAATTAATTTTGTCAATAAAGATGTTAATAATAATAATAAGCACCGTATTTTATTACCACTTTTGCTCTTCTGTCAACGTCTTCGTATTGCAGAACACAATGCGAAGCGAAACTTGAATTTTGATGCTTTAAACTAGTCAAATTTGCACTTTTGGGGACCAAAAGAGCAATTTTTGTTTTTTTTACGATGTGGTCTTAATGGCCATATCAGGAGTGCGAGGAGGTGGATAGAGGGTCGTCCTGACCAAACCAAGGGTGTGGGGAGGTGGATAGAGGGTCGTCCTGACCAAACCAAGGGTGTGGGGAGGTGGGTTGAGGGTCGTCCTGACCAAACCAAGGGTGTGGGGAGGAGGATAGAGGGTCGTCCTGACCAAACCAAGGGTGTGGGGAGGTGGGTAGAGGGTCGTCCTGACCAAACCAAGGGTGTGGGGAGGTGGATAGAGGGTCGTCCTGACCAAACCAAGGGTGTGCGGAGGTGGGTTGAGGGTCGTCCTGACCAAACCAAGGGTGTGGGGAGGTGGGTAGAGGGTCGTCCTGACCAAACCAAGGGTGTGGGGAGGTGGGTAGAGGGTCGTCCTGACCAAACCAAGGGTGTGGGGAGGTGGGTAGAGGGTCGTCCTGACCAAACCAAGGGTGTGGGGAGGAGGATAGAGGGTCGTCCTGACCAAACCACGGGTGTAGGGAGGAGGATAGAGGGTCGTCCTGACCAAACCAAGGGTGTGGGGAGGAGGATAGAGGGTCGTCCTGACCCATACCAAGGGTGTGGGGAGGTCACGGGTCTCACAAGACTACCAAGGGCTATGGGAAGGAAAATGGTTCAGAGCTTGAAGGATGCGACGAAGCCCCCCCCCCCCACACACACACACACACAGGCAGCTAAAGGCCGTCAGCCTGGCAGTGCATCCAATAGAGGGGAGCAGAAGGAGGCGCCCATCGCCTTTTAGGAGGGGAAACTCTACCCAGCAAAAAATGGATGAAGGGGAGAGTGTGAGGGGAAAAAATTAGATACTGAAAGGCGAGATGCTCCTTCAAGTGTCTGGGCTGGGATAAAAACTGTATGTGGTTAGCTGGGAAGACCTTTCCCTTTTTGTATTGGCTTTATATAATAAAAACCTAAGAAAAAAGGAATGTGCAGAAGGCCTATTGGCCCAAACCTGATAGATCGACCTCTATGTCCCATATATATATATATATATATATATATATATATATATATATATATATATATATATATATATATATACGTAATTAACCAAAACAAAACACAAATGGGAAGAGGTTGGTAGGACAAAACAACATGGAAACTACAATAGAGGGGACCCAAAAAATCCCCTCTAATGCGTTGTGTGCGCTTTTCTCCGAGGCTGTGGGTCCCGTTCTAGCAACCAGAGGTGATACCCTATATATTTATAAAATAATTAGAAAACGATACTACATTACATACTTTTTTTAACGACAACAATAATAATAATAATAATAAAGACCGCCATGTAAAAACTGTGACGGGTTTCAGACTTCAGACTTGTAACTTCAGGTAACAGACTTGTTACCAAAGGAAGTTGAGCGAGAGGCAAGAAGTACCCTGTGTGTATTGGTGTGTGTGTCCAGGGAGGATATATTGACCCCAACCATACAGGGTGTTCTGAGTGCGGGTGTGTGTGTGTGTGTGTGTGTGTGTGTGTGTGTGTGTGTGTGTGTGTGTGTGTGTGTGTGTGTGTGTGTGTGTGTGTGTGTGTGTGTGTGTGTGTGTGTGTGTGTGTGTGTGTGTGTGTGTGTGTGTGTGTGTGTGTGTGTGTGTGTGTGTGTGTGTGTGTGTGTGTGTGTGTGTGTGTGTGTGTGTGTGTGTGTGTGTGTTCACGTAGATGTGCTTGCAAGGTCGAACATCGTCGCGAAATTTCGCCTTCCTATTTTGTTGTAGTTGAATACGACTCAATATTAGAAAAAAACGAGAAAGCTTAATTTAAAATTGAGTTTGCTCAATTGTTAGACCTGTTCCTCTTGTATTCAAGACCAACGTTGACATTTTTCTTTCTGACATCCAGGAACTACGTCCATTTTAGCCATCCTTTCACCATCACACCTCTCCCTTTTATCACCATCACCTCCCTCTTCACCACCATCACCTCCCCCTTCACCACCATCACCTCCCCCTTCACCTTCTCCTCCCCCCTTACATGTCCCCAACCCGGCGCCAAAAAGTCTGGGGACGACTCGTGATTCACGGCTCCTATCTCAACTTCGAAGGGAATTACATTAGGTTTATTTCTCTCCCAAATCAACTGAATACTTTCTAATCTTCCACTTTTATAACACAAAATATAACCCAATTTATCACACACTTACAAAGTCTGTCAATTGTACATTAAGGTTTGACACACAATGTTTTAGTATTAAATATTATAACGTTAAATATTAAAAAGTACACTTGAATTTTTCCCGGGTACACTAGGGGATGGGGAGGATTGGGGGATGAGGAGGATTGGGGATGGCGGGAATGGGTAGGATAGGGAGGGGGAAAGGAGGGGGGGGGGGGGATGTTAAGTTCGCTGTTGGGATCGTGAGCTTAACAAAGAAGACAGTCCAGAATCCCTTGATAGCGTAGTCGATGGAAGCTTGGAGCGTCTCGCTGCTAATACCAGGGCACGCTAAAGTTTTTCCCGGGGTTGAAGGCTCCCCTTGATTTGCCACAACGTACAAAATACAGAGTGCTAAGCTAACCAGAAGCTTGCAAACCCAAGCAACTCACCTAACCGACCGATGTGTAGAAACCATGCATGTTTGTGAGTCGCTGTTTTTCTTAGTACTTTGTAATTTGTACGTTTGAGACTATAACGTACAAGATGAGGCGTGATATCAACATTGTGATGTGGCGGGGGTGTTGCTAGTATGTGGCGGGGGTGTTGCTAGTATGTGGCGGGGGTGTTGCTAGTATGTGGCGGGGGTGTTGCTAGTATGTGGCGGGGGTGTTGCTAGGATGTGGCTAGTATGTGGCTGGGTGTGGATATAGGAGATGAAGGTGGGCATAGGATATGACGATGTGTAGGCAGAGCACATAATCTACCTGGATGACTTGTGTGCAAAGATGCACAATATAAACAAATCGAATGTTCTTAAGGCATAGTGGGGGGGGGGGGCTAGACAGGGTGGGGCTAACAATGGTGGAATGGGGCTAGCCAGGGTGGAATAGGGATAGTCAGGGTGGAATGGGGCTAGCCAGGGTGGAATGGGGCTAGCCTGGGTGGAATGGGGCTCCCCAATAAAGGTATGGGGGGGATTAGATGTTGAAATACGCTAGGACTGAGCTAGATTGACTCGGGGGACTGTACAGTACGTTACTGAACCTAACATGAAAACCAGGGTAGAGTAAATGGTTAGAGAAATGGGGAAGAAGGTGTGAAGAGTTGGTAGAAGGGAATGCACACAACGGGAGAAGAAAGCTTTAAAGGAATTAGAGCTGAAATGTAAAGAGGGGAGCTTAGAAGAAGAGGGAGTGAAATTGAAATAACGCCAGACACACATGCAGTTAAGGAATGCTTTAGTCAGTGCATTAGTCTATGTAGTTAACTGATAATCATTAAATGATTAAACTAATTTTTCCCCTTCAATAATACAGTATCTAGAAGCAGCGAGTGAAGTCAGGAAAGTTAATATAGAAAACGCAGCATGGACAACATCGCGGACAAAATGTTTAGACCACGGTACAAAGCACGTTTTCTGTGAGGAATGGCGTTTAAAAGAAAATAAAAGTTGGGGTAACTAAGCTAATCCATACATTAATGGATATTGGTTTAGGAATGGGTAACGTGTAGTGAATAAACATGAACCCGTTGCATAGTTTGCGACGGATAGTCTAACCAGAGTGAATGTGAAGCACAGTTCACGCAATCGCCCATCCAGTTACTGACCAGAAAAAGCCTTAAAACACTTTAGCGTTCAGTTGACGCTAAAACGCGGCACTGTAATACAAGTCTGATATAAGACAGTTAGGTAAATACGTGCAGATGGAGAGGACCTAGTTGTTGTATTTAACGTATAATCATAAATTATATATAACTTTAAATGGCATATATGTAGGCCTATACATTTCCTTTGATCGAGATGACAGCTTCTCTGCTGTAAATGTAATCTTAAGAAACTATTCATCACTGATCTTTGCAACACGATTCACTGCTAACCATATAATTCATTTTGTCGTGGGGACAGGCAGCCTGTATATATATATATATATATATATATATATATATATATATATATATATATATATATATATATATATATATATATATATATATATATATATACATATTAAGTTTATATCGAGATCCCTCCCCCAAGGTCTAACTCCTGCTACTGACCCTCCCCAGGATGCAACCCCATAGCTGACTATAGCCCCTGGGTACTTATTTACTGCTAGGGGCATTAAGCTATGGGAAATGTGCCCAACCATGTCTGCCCCGTCCGGGATTTGAACCCGGAATACCCGACTGTGAGGCGAGAATGAAACCAGCTGTAAGCTTTTTCTTATGGTAGACATTATTGATAGACTCAAAAATACAAAATCTACTGCAAGCCAGCAGTAGATGCAAGTCGGCTTGCAGTAGAATCATATCTACGACTATGATTACTACTGCAATTATATATACAACTACCCCCACACTACTACTACTACTACTACTACTACTACTACTACTACTACTACTACTACTACTACTACTACTACTACTACTACTACTACTTACTACTACGACCACTTAGAAACCTTATACTCACCGAGATGACGTGGTCGTGCTTGTCGCAGGTGTTGTAGGGACGAGACATGATGAGCACCGTGTGGGTGTCGTTCTCGTAGCCGCCCACCAGCATCCAGTCCCTCTGGTCGTCGACCGAGGGCTCCTGGTTGCCCCGCCCGTGGCGGTCCTGCAGGTAGGCCTTCCCGGAGTGGACCCACCTGCAGCGGGGGGGGGAGTCGGGGTTAGTTACACCTGCAGGAGTTGGCTGACGGAACCAGAGAAGGAGAGTAGAGAGAGGGAGTGAGGGATCAACAGAGATGAGAAAGGAGGGAGAAGGGGGGGGAGAGAGAGAGAGAGAGAGAGAGAGAGAGAGAGAGAGAGAGAGAGAGAGAGAGAGAGAGAGAGAGAGAGAGAGAGAGAGAGAGAGAGAGAGAGAGAGAGAGATGTTGTGTTAAAGAATGAGAACAGAGGCAAGTGAATCAAGGAAGGGGAACTAAGGGATGGAAATCGCCAAGCCATTACGTCTATATAGCAGTGGAAAGGGATCAGGATAAGGAATATGGAATAGAAGCAAAATAAAGTTGCATAAATTATAAAGAAGTAAGTAAATTATAAAGAAGTGTTTTACTCATAAGAGTAAAACACACACACACACACACACACACACACACACACACACACACACACACACACACACACACACACACACACACACACACACACACACACACACACTCACACACACACAGACAAATAAGAGTCTTCGGGAATCTCAATACATAACCATCCGGCATATTGTACGACACCTATGTCAAACCGATACAAGAGTATGCAGCGTCAGCCAGAAGCACTCATACTCCTCAAATTCGCAAATATAAAATACAATAAAAAAAAATCTAGTGTTCTGCCGCTACACTAGTCCTTGCAATAGTGAACCTGAATTTTGTAGACGGACTTAATAAATCTGACACCGTCGGAAAAAAAAGAACAGAGGGTGTAGGTTCATAACCTACGAGGATGAGGGGATACAAGGACTGGTACTAGGATGACGAAATACAAGGACTGGTACTAGGATGACGAAATACAAGGACTGGTACTAGGATGACGAAATACAAGGACTGGTACTAGGATGACGAAATACAAGGACTGGTACTAGGATGACGAAATACAAGGACTGGTACTAGGATGACGAAATACAAGGACTGGTACTAGGATGACGAAATACAAGGACTGGTACTAGGATGACGAAATACAAGGACTGGTACTAGGATGACGAAATACAAGGACTGGTACTAGGATGACGAAATACAAGGACTGGTACTAGGATGACGAAATACAAGGACTGGTACTAGGATGACGGGACACAAGGACTGGTACTAGGATGACGGGACACAAGGACTGGTACTAGGATGACGGGACACAAGGACTGGTACTAGGATGACGGGACACAAGGACTGGTACTAGGAGGAGAGGGACACGAGGACTGGTACTAGGAGGAGAGGGACACGAGGACTGGTACTAGAACGAGGGGACACAATGTGAACGTTCATCATCAGTATGAACGAAAAATATATATGAAAAAAGTCTTCAGTGTGAGTGTTATCAGTCGATCGAATCATAGAACAATAACTAGATCTTGCAAGACACGTTTAGATCCAGCTACACCCTTCTAGACCCTTTCAGATCCTACTAGAGCCTTCTGGATCCTACTATGGCTTTCTAGACCATATTCGACCAACTAGTTGTGGTCGAGCATAGAAAACTAGTCATTCTACCTACGCAGTCCCGACTGAGGTACGTCGATAGAAGTGAAGCGTTCATAAGAACGTTCAAACGCAGAGCACGTGAAGGTCAAAATGTAATGTAAAGAAGGATGTGGAAGGGATAGGGGAATATTGGAGGGTGTCACCCCCTCTCAACATCCTTCCCCTCCCCCTCCCCCCGCAGCAGACACATATGGGGCAGAAGGGATCGTCTCTTTCGCCAACCGGCTTCCGTGCTACCAACTTTATCCCCCTCTCCCCAATCCCCCCTTTCCCCTTCCCTTTTCCCCTTCCTCCTCTCCCCTTCCTCCTCTCCCCTCTCCCCAATCCCCCTCCCCTCTCCCTCGTCACCTCGGAAACCAGCACATCCTCCTGAAATGAAAGTACTTATAGTAACTATTTGCTGGAAAAGTACCAACATGTAGTGATGGACCGCCAGAAAGTTGACTTTTGTATTTCTGAATTTGCACACACTGGAATAATTATTATTATTATTTAAAAGCAGCATAAATATAAGACCTAGACTAAGTTATTCTAGCAATCTTAGGCATAATACACGCTATCTTAGGCCTAATATTGTACTCACATGTGCTATACCTGGCCGAGAAATATTTAAGTTTGGCTTTTAGCTTTATTTTTTATTTTTTTGCTGGACTGTATAACATAAACAGTACAAAAAGTGGGTTACTGGCGGCCCATCGCTACATATGGGTTCTTTTCCCGTTTTTTATAATGAAAAAATAGTCACTTATAGTGACTATTTTCCAGATCCTACTAGTCACTTATACTTATATAATACACTCCTATTAATAATAGTCATTTATAGTGACTATTATTATATAGTCACTTATAGTGACTATTTTCCCCCTCAAATAGTCACTATAAGTACTATCATTTGAGGAGGGTGGGTTGTGGCGGAAACACACACAATACTGCAACACTATCTCACCATTCTTCCTCCTTGCTCTACTTCCACTCCTTTTCACTCTCCCTCCCACCATCCCAAAAACCCATTCTCACCCTCATGCTATTCTTGGATTTCTCGATCTCTTCCTATCCCTTTTCTCATTTCCTACATCCCTTTCCCTTCCGCTTCGCCCATCTCAAGCTCGTTTCCATTCCTCTCCCCCCCCCCACCAATCCTCACTACCTTCCGCATCTTCCCTACACCCATTTCAACATCACTAATGGATCAACTCTTCTTAATTTGAAGTGAATCACAATTGGCATTTAAACGTTCAAAAAATATTTGAACGAATTATATTTACTCTAATATTTTTTGCCGTGCACGTTCAGATATATATTTTTATCTTCCATATTATTATTAATATTAAAATTATTATTATTATTATTATTATTATTATTATTATTCAAAACACGTTTAAAAATTGTAATTAATTATATAAGATTATTCTTCGCGTGTCAAGGCAAAATTAAAACGGTTTATTATTGTATTAGATGGCATTATTCAAATATTATTTAGAAATGTGTATAGGTTTTAATGACGGTGAATTGGGTCATTTTTACTCCACTCGTTTCTGTTCAACCTTTCCCACCATTCCTAGCCCCTCTTACCAAAAACCCACAATCCTCGGCTTCGTTTGTTGCGGGAAGGCGTTCGATCCCCGATGGTGCAAGTGATTAGGGGGGGGGGGGAACGATATAATTGCCACCGTTCATTTCCAGATCCTTGACTTAATATAACCCCTCCAAGACCAATATAGTCGTACTGTCTTGGTGCTTTCACATATTACATTACCTAACATTCTCAGCGCCTCGACTCTATAAATCCCCAACCCCTGACTTCTCAGCCCCATCTCCTCTCACCTCCCTCCACTCTCCCACTCTCCCACAACCCCAAATGTCTGCTCTTCTTTTCCCTTGCTCTCCTCCAGCGCCCTCCAGTGCAATTTCATGGTCATGGAAGCTAGTCAGTATTATATATCACGAGATACTGATGTAATACACTATCTTTATCACACAACGTGAAAGAATAATGTAATACAGTGTATGTATTATATATCTCCCTCTCATTACCTCTGCTCCCTTTTCCTAACTTCTGCTCCCTTCCCCTCACATCACATTCGTTCCCCTCCCTCTCCTCCCTCCCTATCTCTAACCCTCCCCCCCCCCCCAACTCTGCTCTCGGCCCTTCTCTCACGTCCTCTTCTTTTCCTCGCCTCACCTTCCTCCCCACAATTCTTCCCTCTCCTGCCTCCCCTCAGCTCTTCAATCACCTCTCATCTCCCTCCCCTCGCTTCTCCTCTACAACCCCATCATCACTAAACGTCTCGCTCCCATAGGTAATTACAACCTGTATTTAACCTATTAGCCACAAATGTCAATAGTTGAGCTTCTGAATCCAATTACTGAGTGTAACGTTCGTGTTAAGCTAAACTAACCCAAACTGTGACTAACGTGTTGATGTATACATAGTATTACAATCTGTAACTCTCTCATCACTGCTTTAACTTGCTTAACTAGGCGAAACGGTTGGGCTTACCGTCCTGAACCCATTATGTCTCTCTATGGTGTTTTTCACCTACACTCACGGGATGGGTATGGGGTGAAGTACACCTCATAGGATGTTTATGGGATGCAATACCCCTCACAGGATGGGTATGGGGTGCACTATATATTTATACATATACATACTGTACATGCATATACACATGATACACATGTCTTGTGTGTGTGTGTGAATATATATATATATATATATATATATATATATATATATATATATAAATATATATATATATATATATATATATATATATATATATATATATATATATATATATATATATATATATGTACTGTACATATATTTATTACAAGTATTCATGTACTGTCTTCCGTCACACATTAAAGAGAGTTATAACAAAGGAGAAGACATTGCAGCCATTCAAGTGAAGAATGGCGCATCTGGCGTGATGTGTTAGTGGACAGCGCCACACGGGCCCTTGATGGCCCTTGTTTATGTGCCAACAACGTGCGAGAGTGACCACAACAATGTGTTCTGCACGCGTCTATTGTGAGGACGTCAGGCCTGAGTTAAGCGCCCGGTGTGACTTGCGAGGCCGTGTTGCGGCCAGGGTGGAGGCATTTGGGTGCCGACAGGAACATATGGAACGTGACTTAACGTCTGCGGTCGAGGAGGTAGAGGACAATGGGAGAGAGACGTGCACATACACACCAAGACACTCACCCGACGACGATATCTGCGCCGTCCATCCTGGGTTTAGACGAGAGGCCGAAACCGATGTAACCAGTGGTTCTCGCTGTCACCCGGAATTCAATGCTCTCCTCTCGCGGCGTCCACTGCACCACGAAGGCTCCCGACTCCTCCAGCAGCGCCTCGTGCTCCCAGGACTCGAAGGACGTCAGGCGCGGCGTGATGAAGGACGACGTGGCGAAGGACATCACCTGAGGCACCAGTACTAGAAGCGCTAGCACGTGAAGGAGAGACAACATGGAGAGCTTCGTCGAGAGCTCCCTGAAGGAGAAGACAGCTGGAGTCAGAGAATAACTCCTGGTTGGGTGTCGCAGCGTCTGAGACCTGCGGAATTCTGGATCCCCGGCCATTGTTTTGTTTGGGGTGGTGGAGCAGGGAGGACGTCTCGGCTGATTAGAAAAATATCTGTGAGGGCAGGGAAAGAGGGTGCAGGAGGCGGGGGTTGTGTGCACCGACTCCATGACTCCTAGCGGAAGTGGTGGTGGGTTGAGGGGATTTGTTTTGCTGGTGCTATCTTCTGTTGCGCCGCCGCCTCTGTAGGGACATTCTCAGCCTCGTTCAGGTGAGTAAGCAGCTGTAAGATAGGGCTTATTCAGCCTTCTTCAGGCCGCTTAAGTTGTGGCAGCTATGTTAGGGAACCAGTGAGAAGTCCTCAAAGTTGAACAGTGCAATTTTACCGAAAGATGCCGTAGTCTGAATATGTATATATATATATTCCTTGCAAAAGGCAGAATTTCCCTTTTAAAGTTTACAGGAAAAAGCAAAGATTTTAATATCCTTATAATTCACCTCTTGAATCCTCTAATACCCGACTTCCAAAGGCATAAACAAAGGCGAGGGGCCCCTCCGCTAGACAGGTTAAATTATGGAATGTGGTAATCTTCCCACCCTCGACCATCTGAGGCGAGCCACGAGCCTTTGATCCAGACTGACTTTTGGGATCTGTCAGACATTCATCTGCAGCGTGTGTTATGTACACTTGGAGGGCCGGCGGGGCATGAGACGGAGCTTGGAGAGGTGAGGTGGGAGGTGTAACACAGGAAGGGAGGGAGGGAAGCAGGGCGGGTTATGAGTACCAGAACCGGCCTGGCCTGGTTCACCGGGTCCGGCAATATTGTGGAGCCCCGCAGTTATTCCTGGAGCTGGTCCTGACGTGACCCGCTTATCAGTCAGCCCTGCAAAGATAGGAGAAACTTTATTAACACAAGCGTCCAATAATGTCAGGAGATATATTACAGGATATTATAGCTTGAAGATAAGAACTGGAGTCATTACTTGCTCAAACATAAAAAAAAAGTGATATTACTTTATTGAAATAGAAGCAATTAGTTTAACTGAATTGTAAACGCTTTATCAATGTTTTATATTTTATTACAACCCTGTAGTAATTAATTCTGAAGGGCCACTACATTTGATAAATAATAGCAAATATCAACAGGTTATTATTGAGCCCATCCTGGGCGTTCCCAACCTCACTAGCACAACCACTTGGGCTGGACGGTAGAGCGACGGTCTCGCCTCATGCAGGTCGGCGTTCAATCCTTGACCGTCCAAGTGGATGGGCACAATTCCTTCCTCCCATCCCATCCCAAGTCCTTATCCTGACCGCTTCCCTTTTTTGCTATATAGTCGTAATGGCTTGGCGCTTTCTCCGGATAATTCCCTCCCTCCCTCCCTCCCTCCCAACTTCACTAAACTGTTTACCTAAAGTGCCCGAACCTAAACCAAGCCGAGGATCCACAAGCAGAAAACGGAACATCACCTTAATTTCGCGAGCCGCTACCATATTCTTGTACGCGAGTTTTTGGCCTTTGGTAAAGTATACGTCAAAATGCGACGTGCTATTAGTAGAACGGTCTGTCTGAAGGAGTTAAATTAGTCTGAAGGAGAGGGACTGTGGAGAAGGAGAGGAAAGATATTGGTGATTGTTGAAGATGGGGCGGCACCTATCTGTGTTTAAGTACTGACAATGGTTATCTTGAAGACCGTATGTAGTTAATAACTACCTCAACACACTGCCTATAATGCCTCAGTACACTGAAGGAAGCAGGCAGAGACTTCATAAACCTTCACTGGGTCAATATACCTGCTTGATACCTGCTGGTGTTCGCCCAATAGTCGGCCATTTCATGTCTAATTTCCAAACTGTATTATTTGCATTTATCAAATCCGAAGTCAATTAGAAATTTATTAGACCAACTCGCTGACGCCTGAGAGGCGGCCTACAGTCCCTGACGCCTCGCTGGTGCAAGTTTGTGTCCTCGGGGCATTTTGAAACTGTACAGCATATAACCAGCTAGCAATATATATATATATATATATATATATATATATATATATATATATATATATATATATCCACCAGCGACCAGTACCGCCGCATGTAGGAACGAGCTCCCACGGAGACTAATAAGACAGTCAATCAAACCATTGCCATCACCACTCGCCCAGCATGCAACGCCAATCGTATGAGCGTAAACATTGTTCAATTGCAGAGCCAGAGCGAGGCTTGCAACGACAAGGTCCGAACGTTGCTAAGTTCCCTCCCCCCCCCACCTCTCACCCCACGCCTTGAGCACAAACTCGGAATGCCATCGTCGCCAACCCGGTAGACAGGTAGACACAACATTCGCCTTTACCCCCAGTGTTAGTGAGGGGAGGAAACGAGAGGAGGAGTCACGGAAGTGAAGGAGACACGGAAGAGAGGGAGACACGGGAAAGGAGGGGGAGCTAGGAGACCAGCCCGTCCTCCTATGGTTTCCCAACGTCAAGAAAACGGCCAATTTAAAGTGTCTTCTTCTAACCTACCAGAGGACCCAAAACAGAAAACGAGACACTTCGTCACTTTCGCGAGCCGCTTTCATTTTGTAGTACGACAATTTTTGGTCTTATGTAACGCATATATACGAGCGAAAAGCGACGTTCTTGGTAGGAGGAGAGGTAGAGGAGACGTGGGAGTGGAGAAGAGGAGAAACAAGAAAGAAGACAGCCAGTGAGTCACATTAGGGGAGGAGGAGGGGGCGGAAATATGTCTAAAGACGGAGAGAAATTAGTGTGTCACATGTCATCAGTCCGGCTGCCCCGGCCCGTCATGAACTCTCCCCCCCCCCATCCCTACCCCCCCTCCACCACTCATGTCTCTCCCCTCCACCATCCTCCCCCTTCCCCCATCCCCCCCTCTCCCTCACTCATTCTCCCCCTCACTCATTCTCCCGCTCACTCATCCTCCCCCTTCTCCAATACCTCCCATTATCAATTACCTTAACCATCATCCTATTCACCGTCCGTAAAACCAATATTTTCATCACTACCCTCAGCTACCACCATCTCCCCTCAACCACCATCACCCGCTCAACCACCACCACTACCACCATATTACCAAGCCCACAACATACATCAGCCATGAATCCCAGGTGACAGGCATGCAAAAGGTCATGTCAATAAATCAAGTGATGGGTTGGAGCGTGTCTTCGTGACACTCCTGACACGTGCCATGACAGCGCAGAAAATACTCTTGACAAGTCCCTTTGTTTGGACCTTCTGGGAGGTGGGCCCCGGTGTCTCTCTCAGCTGACAGCGACCACGATATATATATATATATATATATATATATATATATATATATATATATATATATATATATATATATATATATATATATATATATATATATTAGGGGTAGCACCTCTGGTGCAATTGCAGGGACCCACATCCTCGAAGAAGAAAACAAAGAGCATTCAGAGAAGATCTTGTGGATTCTCACTGAATACTTTAATCTTTTCTTCTCCTACCACCCCTATTATTATTATTATATATATATATATATATATATATATATATATATATATATATATATATATATATATATATATATATATATATATATATATATATATATATATATATATATATATATATATATATATATATATGTGTGTGTGTGTGTGTGTGTAAATATATCCACTCCAGTCCACTCCACAATTCCATATATCATTCATGAACAGAGCATATTATCAAAGCAAGAAAATCCAATGTCAACATCCTCAAACACGTACACTCTAGTGGTCATGCTAGTGGACACTGAAATATTAAATTTCTCGCCGTCCCGCCTTGAAAAAATAGCGACACCTGCATGTAACAAAGATATTTGTAGAGCCCAAAAGCCAAACACCCGGTCACAGACACTTCGAGACAAAGCCCTAGATATCATTTTTTTTTTTTAACTCAGAAACAACAAAGAGTAAGACTTTTGGGTCCCTTTCTTAATCCTTGGGGCAGAGAGGAGGGGGGAGTACTCTGACTATTGAGAAGGGGGAAGAGAAGCCCAGTACCCTAACTCTAGGAGATGGGGCTAGGGCACTGTAGGCTGAGGTCTTAAAGTTTGTGGATAATGTATGGGAGAAGGGAAGGGAACTATCAGAAGAAAAGACAAACAATTACGACTATATAGCACTTGTAAGGGATCAGGATTAGGAGTTGGGGTGGGACGGGTGGAAGGAATGGTGACTATTCCTGCACCATGGAATAGGTACCATTCCTTCCTTCAGGGATTATCTCCATTCCTTGGAGACAATCCCTGAAACTTAGGATTTCGTAAGAAATGAAGCCCAAAGGGCTGAGGGATGGTTCCACCCCCCCCCCCCTCCATCCCTGCAAGTGAGGGTTTCTCTTGTAATGAGACTGAATATGGGATTGTAGTCCCTTGCTCTGGAAGGAGTTCCAATCCCGTACCAGAGGAAGATCTCAGATCGTTGTACGTAAACCCAAATGAGAGATGGAGATCCTCGTATCCTTCTTGCGGGGGCTAAGTTAGTTTCCAAAAAACCCTGCTGGTGGGTGGGGGGGGGGGGAAGAAGAGGGATTTCTGTTTCTACACATGGGACTGAATAGGAGTCTAAGACCCCCCTTGCAGTTGGAATTATGTGGGAACCCCACCCTGCCGACCAAGAGATTGAACGAGAGTCCTTAACCCCTTCCCTTGGGGTTAACCCCTTTCCTTAGGGTTAACCCCTTCCCTTGGGAGTGAGTGGTAGTCCCAACCCACAAGCCATTGGAGTGCGTGGGGTTGGGGGGGGGGAGGTCTTCCTGTCTCTCCCCGCCACGCCAGCCACAACAGTGAGCCGTCGCAGCTGCTTTACTGTCCGGACACCTGCCACCTCCCTTCGCCAGCCACCTCCGTCCCTGGGGAGGGGAAGTGGCGACGCGAGAAGTGCTGCGGCGTGCCGGAAGCTGCTGAGTGATAGATGCTCAGAGAAGAGGTAGTGGCAGGGGGGGAGAGGGCGGGGTAAGTGGGCGGAAAGCGGCTGCAAGGTGTAAGGATGGACAAGGCGGATGGTATGAGCCATATCCTCCTCCGTCTCGCACGTACATGTAGGATTATTCAACGGGAATCAAGAAGGAAATCAAGGAAATGTGTGATGTCTTGAGACGTGGCCACCAGAAGGTCCTGTATAACTGTTGCTCTGTCAGTTCCTGGCACAGTCCCGCAAGTCTACTTCCAATAGACATTCAGCCTCGCATCTCTCCTCGCAGACAAAAGGCCTTGGGTTCGAACCCTGGGCAAGGTGGGAAGCTTGTGCAATGTTCCCTCACTCCGTTAGACCCTGTGTTCACGGCAGTAATTGCGGGACACGGATATAAAATTATTGGTGGGTGGTTTTTTTTCAGGAGCAAATATCCCGCGAGTTAACCTAACCGGTTATCAGTGCCTTGGGTTCTAAATCCAATCCTTACCAAAAAAAAAGTGACATCAAACTTATAAAAAGCAGTTCTAGCTAAGATCTCTAAATTAGTGGACTGCCCAGACCTCCTAGTTGATAGTCTGGTCTGTTAGATAAGCGAGTAATCTGGTAGACTTTATACAATTTTAGGTAATCAAGTTTAGGTAATTTTAAGTAATCATAAAGTTCCGTTTTAAACACAATTATCATTTAGTAGGTTTTCCTTGAGATTCTTGTGAGGATTAATGTCCCCCCGGCCCGGTCTCTCAGGCATATTATAATTAACATACCTGGATTGCATATGATATCATGCTACATTTGAGTGGATTTATTCTTAGCCTACACATTATATCACGCCTCCTGTGCAGATCTGGTCCCTACAGCATTTTGGAAATATAAATCATGATGTATCACTCTTGCCAGTGTTTCAGGAATGGCAAATTTAAGGGAT